CTGAGTCACTTCAAAGGGTAGAAGGAACCATCCTTTACACTCAGCTGGGGTAGGACACAGTTCCCTTTCCCACCAACCAATGACCTCATTACTCCTGGAGCACCATGTAGAATATTCAGAATAGTTTTGGCTCAGTAAATTGCCTCTAGACCAGAGTCAAGTGTATTCTGTAAAGGTCCACATAGGAAGCATTTTGGACTTTGTGGTCCATATAGTCCCTAAAGCAGTGACTCAGCTCTACCACTGCAAGGAGGAAAGTATCTCTGGATACTGCAAGTACATAGTACAGCTGTGTTGCCACTGAACTGAATTTATAAGCCTTGAACTTTTCATCTCAAATAATTTTTACAAGTCACAAAATATTCTTTTGATTCTTTTTCACCATTTAAAAACTTTGAAAGCTGTTTTTAACTTGTATACCACACAAAAATGTAAAATATTAGGCCACAGTTTTCTGATCCATGCTCTAAAATGAACACCTCTTTAGTCTGGCTTTAAAAGCAAGACCCAGGGCTGGTAAGATGGCTCAGCAGGTAAAAACACTTCTGTGTAGGCCTGGCGACCTTAGTTCAATTCTTGGAAACCATGCAAAGTTGGAAGGAGAAAACTGACTCAACAAAGTTGTCCTCTGACCTCCATATGTGCACGCTACGGCACATGTGTACACACACATGTGCACACACACACACATACACACACACTCTTACATAATAATAAAATTTAAAATAGATAAAAATAAAAGCAAACCCAAAATAATATAACTGCGTCCCATAGAAACTCACAATAATATTTCTAGATATTAAAAAATATCCAGTATTGAAACCCCCCCCAATAACTGACATCCAAATAAATGTTTCCCAATAAGAACAGAAACAAGGCAAGAATGTCTTGCCAATTTAGTCAACATTGTACTAGGTTGTAGTGAGTGCAATAAGACAAGAAAATTAAGTACAAGGCATCCAGACTGAAATGAGGACATGTAAGTGTCTTTACCTGTGACAATTTGTGTGGAAAAATCTACAGACTCAACAAATAAGCCACTGGATCAAATTAGTGAGTTCAAGCAAGGTTGCATGACTCAAAAACAATACAAAAAAAATTGATGGCAGTTTTACATCTGAGCAGCTATTACACAGTGAACATTTTTAAATGCTACTTCTAATAAAGATAAGAAATACTGAAGGATAAATCTGATCAAAGCTATATAAGGTATTACAGTGAAAATAAAAAACACTGCTAAGAAAAATTAAAGAATAAATGGAGATTTATTTAGAGATAAATCAACATTATGGGTTAGGAGATGCCTATGGTTAAGATGTCAATTCTCTTCAAATTAATCTAAAAATGTAATCTTGGTCAAAATTACTTTTTTTTTTGTAGAAATTCAAAGCACATTCCAAAATTCACATGGAAGTATGAAAAACCTAAGGATATCCAAAAATACTGTGAAAAAGAATAATGTGGTTTATTTTTACAGTCCCTTGATTATTGTGCCTTTCTGATAGGTCTTTAATGAGGCAGGTGGGTCTGAGCTGTATAGGAACACTAGCTGAACAGAAGCCAGTAAGCTGTTAGGCGGCACTCCTCCATGGTCCTGCCTTCAGATTCTTGCCTTGAGTTCCCGCCTTGACTTCCCTCAGTGATAGACTGTGACACGGAAGTATAAGATTAAACAATACCCTTTCCTCCCCAAGTTGCTTTTGGTCATAGTGTTTTTGGTTTATTTTCACAGCAACAGAAAAGTAACTAGAATATAATCTTTGAGAAACATATAGTGATCCTGCAGTGGACTATACCTGCACACCTATTAAAGGCTGACTGAAATAAAACTGACTCTACTACATTTGATGAGGACATGAAACAGCCAGAACCTGTACATACATTCAGTTATAACCAAGTTACAAATGCTACAGACAGTTTTGAAACTAGTTGGCAGTTTCTTTAGAAGTTAAACACATCTCAAACTAGTCAACAGTAAAACCCAAATAACTGGATTTTTTTTTTAATGATCAAATGCCCAAGAAGACATTAAAAGAAGGCACACAAATGAAGTACACGAAAGAATGCTTAACCACCAATTATCAGGAAAGCACAAACAAGTAAAACAGTTACGACTTATCACTTCACTACAGTTACACTATTATCTCCTCCAAAAAACTAATTTTAAAAACACACTGAAAACAAAAAGAACTAAACATTATAAATGTTGGCAAGGATGTGGAAAAATGGGATCTTTATACGTTGTTGGTGAAGATGTAAATTAGTACAGCTATTACAGAAACAGTATGGCAGTGCTTCAAAACATACAAAATGAAATTTGTATTATTATATGATCTTAACAATTCCACTAAGTACATATCAAAGGAAATAAGACTGTATGTCAAGGAGATATCTGTACCTTCACTGCAGCACTGCCCCGATGCCTAGGTAAGCCAAAACCACCTAAGTGTCCATCAATGGATGAATGCATTATGGAGGGGAAGTCAGGGTAAATATGATCAAGACACACTGTATACACATATGAAATTGTCAAAGAATAAATTAAAAATATGGTGTGTATATACAATGGAATACTATTCAGTCATAAAAAGAAGGAAATCCTGTGATGCACAACAACATGGATGAGCCTAAAGGGCATTATGCTGTGTGAAATATGCCTGGTACAGAAGACAAATACTGTATGATCTCACTACTGGAATCTCAGAAGATCAAGCTCACAGGGTAAAGGATAAGGTTACTAGAGGCTGGGCCAGGAGACAAGGCTGGAGGATTGGACAGATGTTGGTCAAAGGACACAAAATTTCAAATAGAAAGAAATAAGTTTAAGAGCTCTATTATACACTATGGTGACTAACGTACTTGAAAACTGCTGAGTAGATTTTAAGTATTCTCACCACTAATATGAGGTAATGCAAGCTAGCTTGACTTACCTACTCTATAGAGAATACATATTTAAAAATGTTATATATAACAGATATGTACAATTTTGTCTACTAAATTTTAAAAATTAAGATTAAAAAGAGTTCAGTGGTAGACTACTTGCCTGTCATTTATCAGCCCTTGAACACAATCCTCAGTGCGCACACACACACACACACACACACAAGATGGAGGAGGAAAAGGAAAGACATAAGACAGACTGGGGCTGGAGAGATGGCTCAGTGGTTAAGAACATTTGCTCTTCTTCCAGAGGACCTGGATTCCCAGAACCTACATGACAGCTAACAACTGCCTGTAAGTCCAGTTCCAGGGGATCTGATGCCCCCTTCTAGCCTCTGTGGGCACTTCATGGATACATGTAAGCAAAAGACTCATACATATAAAATAAAAATTTTTTTTTTTTAAAAAAGAAAAATGAGTGACCCTCTATATGACACAGTTATCAGACTTATAGGTAGTGGGGCTAGAGAGATCGCTCAGCAGTTAAGAGCACTGAATGCTCTTGCAGAGGACCCACATGGCACCCACATGGCAGCTAACAACTGTCTATAACTCCAGTTCCAGGGGATCTGATGCCCTCTTCTGGCCTCCACAAGCCCTGCATGCATGTTAGGTATACTTATGTAAATGCAAGCAAAACACTCACACACTTAAATAAAAATAAATCAATCAAATAAAAAATTTTAGACTTGTAGGTTTTTAAAAGAAAACACTTATCCATACAAAGCATTATACATAAATGAACAAAACAACTTTTCCACTAACAGCACAAAACTGAAAATAATCAAAATATCCATTACACATGAATAGACAGATTTTGATAAATGCAAACAAGAGAATATTAATCTACAATTTAAGAGACTGAAATACTAATGCACATGACCATCTAGATGCATTTTAAAATTATGCTTAGAGAAAGAAGCCAGATCCCCTTCTCCCCTCAAGAGAGTAAATACTATATAACTTTTCTTGTATAAAATTAGAGAAAACAGAAGTTAATTAATAGCGATAGAAAGCAGATCAGCAGTTGCCTAGGAATGGAGTGGGCAAGACAAGGAAGAAAACTAAGAATTGTGATTATATTCATTATGCCGACTGCAGTAGTGATAGTTTCACAAATGTGTGTGTGTGTGTGTGTGTGTGTAAAACTTCAACTCAGATATGTGCTGTCTATGATCATGTCAATTACACTTCAATAAATGCCTTTAGAAAGAATGCATGCATACTGGCATGAAAAAGTATAGTGTTTTTAAATTTTATTTATTTACTTATTTTTATTTTATGTGTATGAGTGTATTGCCTGCATGTAAGTGCACCTGTGTCATGCAATGCATGCAGAGGACAGAGGAGGGTGCCAGAGCCCCTAGAACTGAAGTTATGAACAGTTGTTAGCTGCCATGTGGGTGCTAGGATTTGAACCTGGGTCCTCTGCAAGAACAGCCAGTGCTGTTAATTACTGAGTCATCTCTCCAGCCCCCCAAAAGTGTAGTATTAAGTTTAAAAAAAAAAAAAACTATAGGATGACTCATGTATAGATAGCTATATATCTTATGGGCTATTTACTTAATATATGTGTTTATACTAACTGGGCATATAATTGTACACAAACAAGGCTGAGGATATACATACTAATCTACTTAGAGTGTCGAGATTGGAGAAGCAGCATACAAACCTTGTCATCTTATCTGTCTCTAATAGAGCTTGAACTCTGTACAGCAAGCATGTATTACTCTGAAATTTTTTAAATGAGAAACATAAAAATGTAACTAGCATGTTTAAAGGCAAACGGATTTTGGGGAAAGACTTCAAAGAACGAGAGGGGAAAAATGCTAATGGACAAGACAAACTTGAAGGTAAAAGGCCAAACTGAAGACGACTTCTATGAGGTACCAAGACAAGTGGCATCAATGGTCTACTCCTCAGGTATCCTGAAGGGAAAACCACAAGAAACTCAAAGAACAACAATTTTTACTCTAATTTTCAATGGGGATTAGGAATAATCAAGGCCAGCTTCAAACTCTGGCAAGGTCCTGAGCCCACAGTCCTTGGATGATCAGTACCTTGGATAATTTTCTGCTGTTGTTGCCGGATCTCATCAAAACCCAAACCTCTGGTCTCCTCCGGCTCCTCAAAGAGCCAAGGGTTGGGTGTTCCTCGCTTAGCTTCTTCGCTCATCAGGCTGGACCTTAGAACAACAGTAAATGCATTACACAACTCAAAAAATACAGCTTGGCTGCAAATCACTCCCGTAAGTACAGAGATGGCCGCCTGGCATGCTTTGAAACTTCAATCTGCACAATTTATTGCATCTTTAGTTTATTCCAGGAACTGCGTTCAGTGCTATAAGAGGTCTGAGGCTGAATAAGGAACCCACATGGTCCCAAAGGAATTCCAGCGCATTGAAGAGCTGGTGAGACTCATCCTACTAATCTTCCAAAATACATCTGACTCAAAACCAGAGAAGCTGGTACACGAGGTTCTTAAATTTCAAGATCATGAGGCCAACTGGAACTAGCCTGCTTATTAGAACAGTTTGCTTCACAGGCTTTGATACAAAAGGCACAAATATTTTTCATACAAATGCAATATTGTAATTATAGCTAAAGAGCATAGAAAAGATAATAAAATTTCCCATTAAGGGTACTTGATTCCTTGCAGGAACACATGTAGAGTTTCAAATCCAATTTTATGAACGTAATGGAACAATCATAACAATCACACTGAGTTATGAATCACTATCAGAACTCCAGTAGCCTACAGTAATTTGCCTACATTCTAATTTGCACAGACATGCTGGTCTTGGTGTCTAAGGACAGTGAATGAAGGATTCTTTTCATCTCATTTCCTGCTCGCATTCTAAGTCCAGAGGATCATCTAGCCCAGGAAACTACCTGTGACTACTTCAATAGAGAGGTGAACATTCACAATAGAGCTCTCATGGAATTCAAGGGGGAAATGACAACAATGACGATGTTACTGTAGTAACAACAGAAATTAGTGTGGATTAGGTCACTGCGACGTTCAGGCATAGCTCCTGGTGATCTCATGTCTACTCATTCATTTCTCTATTATTTCTCACTCTTTAAATCCTGATGGCACCTCTTATATTGTCTAGAAGTAACTGCTACCCTACTGTTTGGCCTTATATAGTTAAGGCTTCCAACCACTAGACAGAAGGCAGGACATGAAAATCACCTCCCCCATGTTGCATCCCAGTGTAGAGGGAACAGTCACCAGCACATCACCTAATGACAATACAGACAGTAACGCCCACTTCAAGAAGTTGAAGCAAGGATTAAATAGAGTAATTTATTTATTCAAAAATATTTACGCAGTACTTATTATGTAATAGGCATTATGTTAATAAACAGGAACAAATTAAAACAAACTATACATAAACTGACTGAAATCTATGCCCACCAATGCACAGCTTCTCACTGGAGGAGGGGTCCTCATCTATGAAGGGCAGGGCAACCTGTGTAATGTGTACAAAATGCTGAGTGCAGGCACTGGGACAACCACTCAGTAAGGTAACTATTTTCATCACATCAATTACTGCATTGTACTCAGGAGGTACTGAAAATTTTTTTAGTAAGCATGTACTTTTTGCAAAAAGCTATATTAATTTCAATTTTTATTCATCACTTTAAAACTAATAGAAGAATATAATATATTTCAAGAAAAAAAAAAACCCAAAAACCTGAACCAAACACGGGAACGTTTTTGATTCCTTGGACTAAGAATTTAAACACAAATCTGGTCTTTTATTCAAATGTACCAATTAACATGCCAACCACAAGCATGACTTTGCTCCACTCGATCAAAAAGACAGATGTGTTCTTTAAGGTCTTTACATGATCAGCCCCAAGAACTCAAGATGCCAAGGTTTCCCATTTATTCCATACAATAATCATTCAACTTTACTTACCTTTGAATACAGGGCAGAAAGCAATGAAAAAGGAAGAAGGCAATGTGCCATCACTGCACACTCCTAACTCCTAAGCCATCTTACAAGTGCCAGCTTTTGTCAGAACACGAATCATGTGTGGTTGTACATGGCTCACTGCAAAAGCATGGGTCTGAGGCTCATAAAAACTGCCTGAAACCCACAAGTGCATCAGTGGCCAGCTTCAAGCCATCACTCCAATGAGCAGACTGCAACTGGTTGAAGCTGTTCCCATCAGTGCAGGAATGCCCCACTTTTGAACTTGTGGCACCTAAAGCATTCTTTTACAATTTAATATTCAAGAGCTGGAGGTGTAGCTCAATGGGAAAGTATATGTTCAAGAGTGAGGCTGTATGTTCAAATACACACATACACACACACACACACAGATGCATACATGCACGTGCATGTGCATGCTAGTATCAAAGTAGAGAAAACAACAAATGAAAGATTTTCTTAGCAGTCTCAAAAAATGACAAATTAAACCTACAACCATCTGTGTGTGTGTGTGTGTGTCTGTCTGTCTGTACTTTGTGTGTTCTTTACGTGTGGTGTGTGCTATGTGTATACTTTAAAAACCTATTAAAGGTGCTGGAGAGATGGCTCAGTAGTTAAGAGCACTGGCTATTTTTAGAGAGGACCTGGGTTTGATTCTCAACACCCACATAGTGGCTAACAACCATCCCTAACTCCAGTTCCAGAGGATCCGACATCCTCTTGTGGCCTCTGGAGCACTGCATGATATGGGTGTACTTACATATATGTAGGCAAAACACGCATATACATAAAATAAAAATAAACAATTTCAAAGAAACCTATTAGAAAAAAAGTGAAAACCTAAATGCAAACTAATGTTACTATGAAACATATTTTGTTGCAAGACACATAGGAAAGAGTATCCAGTATTGATGTTTCTATTTTCAATATTAGTGTTTCTATTTTCTGATGTCCCAGACCTACCAGGAATATACCTTTAATATACGAGAGGTAAGATCATAGGCATTGCTATATGCCTCCGTGCCTATCTGCCATTCTTTTCATTAGCTTTTATGTTCCACTTCACATCTGGTGTGATACCTATTACTACTCAACACTGTTCTACACACAATGGCCCTTAGAAGGATCATATCAGAATATGGAGGTAGAGTGAAGAATGGCATATGAATAGTGAAAAGCAAAACATGTCCTCCCTCCCCTTATACTGACTAAAAATCATTGTGTTAAGGACTTCCCAACTTATCTCAACCCTACAGATGCTTAGCTGCCCATTTCATCTAAGAGTTTCCAAGTGGTAAACCTCTCAAATCAACATATGCAAAGTCAAATTCATTACTTCTACCCCATAAGCTTTTCTTCTCCTAAGCTCTCTGTTTTGCTTAGCAAGTTAACCAAGGTATTTTGCTGCTGTTATCCCTGTCTTCTACATCTCAGCAATGGTCCAGGTCTTCCTCAGACGGTTCCCAAGTTCCTGTCCACATTAAAAAAAAATATTTTATGTATTATTTTTATTTTATGTATATGAATGTAGTGCCTGCATGTATGTGAGTACACCCGTGTCGTGCAATGCCACAGAGGTCAGAAAAGGGCTTCAGGTTCCCCTGGAACTGGAGTTAAGAACGGTTCATAGCTGCCATGTGGGTGCTGGGAATCGAACTCGGGTCTTCTGCAAGAGCAGTCAGTGCTCTTAACCTCTGAGTCATCTCTCCGGCCCCCGGTCCACATTTCCACAACCCTGTTGGTATAGACTTGGTTCAGGCCCTCATCATCTCTCCTGTGGACCAAGCTTATGACTTACTAAGTGGTTTCCTTGTTCCCAGTCACTCTCATTCAAACCGTCTTACATTCTGATGCTAGAATGATCTAAAACAAAGATTTCACCATATCATTTTCCCCATTTTAAAACTTCTGTGACCTCCTAGAGGCTACAGGTCAACTGTAAACTTTACAAGATGGCCCCATGATCACTGCATCATCACTTCCCAACATTCCCCCTCCTACATCCTGCCTATCCTTGAGTACTTACATATTGCTCCCTATCACACAGGCAAAGGCACAAACTTTCACACTCTGATGTTTTTGCATGAGTCTGGAGTGTCCCCGCCCCCAGCCCTTTGTCCATCTGGCAAAGTTCTATTCATCCCCTAAGGCTCAACTCAAATGTCACTTCTGGTGCTTAGTCCTTCCTGATCCCACTCCATTCCCCTTCCCTCCAATCAATCACTCGCTGGTGTTCCCATGGCACTTTGTTCCCAACCTCGAACGTGGCATTTATCAAGCAGGATTGTAGTTAGTTATTTACTCATCTGTCTTCCTTCCTAAATTATGAGCTCTGTGAAGAAAGAGGCCACATGACAGTCATGTTTATAACCCCAGAACCAAAAAAAATAGAGCCTCAGAACATGCCAGAGAAGCAGCATTCGGGAAAGGCTTACGAAACAGAACTGAGAAAGCCACTGAGGGTTTTAAACTGGAGGGAGACAAAATGAGAGACGTATGTAACATTTTTATCTCGAGAAATGGAAAAAGAAAAACATTAATCAACTGCTACCTTCAAGACTTAGCAACAAAGATACTGTTTAAACACATGGAGAGAATTTCTTTGAAAGGGAATTCTGTGAGTAAAACACCTTCCAGCTCAACCTCACTTTTGGAATGACAAGTAAGGAGCATTTCTTCAGTTAAAGAAAGAAAATGCTAATTACTGTGCTTCCAAGTGTAAGATAGACTTGATTTTTTAAAAAAATACCATGATGTGGATGGAACCCAGAGCCCAGCACACGTCAGTCATGTGCTCCACCACAGGGCTACAGCTCCTGCACCTCCCCTCCTTTTTCTTTTTTGAGACGGCATATTGCCAAGCTGGCTTTGAATTCCTGGGCTCAAACAATCCTTCTGCCTCGGCCTCCCCAGTAGCTGGGACTACAGGCCCACAACACTGTGGATGGCTCATCTATTTAAATAAATTAGCAATTTTTGTCCATATTCTTTGAAGACAGAACTTAACAAATTAATGCAATATTAATAAATATGGTATTATCTTAGATTTTTGAAAAGGTTTCACTAGCACTTCTAAAGACAAAATGATTTCATTTTGAGCCTCCAAAAAATGGTGTACATTATTATAATAATACTGGGGAGGCACAAATAATCCATCTTTCTGCTGACATATGAAGTTGGAGCTCGGAGTTCATAGGGAGGGCGTTCTTATCAACTGAATAAAGAATTGCAAAGGTAGTGAA